CCCCAAAACCCCAAAACCCCAAAACCCCGTGAGTGAAAATTTAAAAATTACAGTTAGTTATATAAAAATAGTAATAAGATCAAATGTGTTAAGCGAGTATTTTAACAATTATTAATAATTTTAAGAATAATTAGGAAGTTAAATGGGAGGCGGAGGCTCAAAATCAAAGAAAAGTGATAATGTAGTTAGAGCTACAAACACATTCACTACTGCAACTCCAAATCACTAACCAGTGGTTTCTAACATACCATAAAAACAGCAGCTTTAAAATAATCAATCTCAATAAATACTTTCGATTTAATCTCCTCTTTAAGATTCTAACAAGATGAATCAGTAACCACCATCAAATAACAATAGTTAAAGTTATTTCAATCCGCAACCAACAGGACTTTCTCAAAACTAAGGCGGGTCCTCTTTATAAAACAATGAGAACTCATATAATCAATAGCTGTAGGTTTAATAAGCAGAGTAGTAAAAATAGAAATAATTAGAGGAAGAAAAACTAAGATAAGCAAAGCTAGCAGAAAAGTAGAGACTCAAATAGCAAAAGGAATAGGAAAGAATCGCTCTTTAGCAAAGAGAATTAGAATAGCAATAACAGCAGTAAGCTGTATTCAACAAACCCCCTTCATCATAATAACCAAGATAAGGATTAGTTGGTGCATAATACAATGCCCCTCAAGCATAGCAGAAGAATGAGCATGTTCTAATTAGGAATGAGTAAGATTAAGATTAGATACAGACATTTGTGAAGAAGAATACTTTGAATACCGATTCTATGATAAATATGACCGTGAATTTGAGTACTGTGGAGTATAAACAGAAGAAGAAGAATGCTAATCAAAGCTATTCCAGTAATTTCGGTGCTCCTGGTGAGATGTCAAATGGATTTTCGAACGCTGGACTTTCATTTGTAAGCGGCTTTGTTGCTCAGGACACTAGTTATATGAATCCACAATTCGATAAAGGAGATTAGATTGATATCAATGAACTACAGAACTACATTTAATCACCCATTAAGAAACGAGGATTATGAGTGATTTGCTAGCCATATCTGTTAGAACATTAGAGGGAGTTATTTATAGATATCTCACTCGCGCACTTAATCATTTATAACTGATAATTATGATCAGATGTGCTTTATAAATATCATATTTAAATTTCAAATTTCTCTTAATTTTGTGTCATTACCTTTGAGGGGTTTTGGGGTTTTGGGGTTTTGGGG